GAACCCAGGGCCTCAGGCATGCAAGGCAAGCACTCTACCACTGAGCCACCTTCCCAGCCCAGCACAAACCAGTTTTACTGCTAGATGACTTACAAAGATTCATCATAGAAATTGACCATTTTAATTTTCAGTTTACCTTCTGAAATAAATATCAGTGAGGATTCAGTAAATAATGTTACCTCCAATGAAATTATTTATTTATTTGTCGGTCATGGGGCTTGAACTCTGGTCCTGGGTGCTGTCCCTCAGCTCTTCAGCTCAAGGCTAGCGGCTCTACCACTTGAGCCACAGCGCCACTTCTGATTTTCTGGTGGTTAATTGGAGTTAAGAGTCTCATGAATGTTTCTGTAGGGGCTGGTGATCTCAGCCTCCTGAGTAGCTAGGATTATGGGTGTGAGCCACCAGCATCCAACTACATGTACTTTTTGTTGTTGTTGGTATTGGGAGCTGAACTCTGGGCCCAGGCTTTGTTCCTCAGCTCTTCAGCTCAAGGCTAGCACCCTACCACTTGAGCCACAGTGCCACTTCTGGCTTTTTTCTTTTTGCTTATGTGGTGCTGAGGAATAGAACCCAGGGCCTCATGCATGCAAGGCAAGCACTCTACCACTGAGCCACCTTCCCAGGCCCCTACATGTACATTTTTAAAGTGAGGATTTATATATCCAATACGAAAGGATACCCAGTATATTTTAAGTAATACAAGCAAAGAAGTTTGTCAAGGTTCTGTTTGTAGTTTTTGTTTTTTTTGGGGGGAGGGGTATTTTCTGAGATTTATTAGTTTTCCATCAGGTAATTTTATAGCTTCAAGATCTTCCCCTCAAAATTAAGACCCCCACCCCCCTCCTCCTCCCAAAGTTTAGAACTGGATCACTTGGCCCTTTCTCTTCTTATCTCCTCCCAGTTCAAAATGCTTGCATCTCTTGATGGCCAGCATCCTCTTGGATCTGCAGTTAGGCTCAACACATTCAAGCCTCAGCACAATCTCCTTGGTGGTTTTAGCCTTCTTTCGGAATATTGGCTTGGTCTGCCCACCATAGCCGCTTTGCTTCCGATCGTAGCGCCTCTTCCCTTGGGCATACAGAGAATCTTTGCCCTTCTTGTACGGGGTCACTTTGTGAGGCTGATGCCTGCCACATTTCTTACAGAAAGTCCTCCTGGTTTGGGGTACGTTGACCATCTTTGTAGTAGAGCTGTCGGGAGACCCGGAGACCACGACACGCGCCTCACGCAGCTCTGAGGAAAAGTGTAGTTTTGTTTTTTTTTAATGAAATGTTATGTATACACTAAGACTCTACTGAGTTTGAAGGGATGCTCGCAAACTCACCCCTGTAATAGTTGGCAGGCCTGTTTTATCTTTGTTGGCAAGAGAATTCCTTTGCTCATGACATTGCCTTTTCCTGAAAGTTCTTCATAATGTAGCTTATTTCTTCCTGAATGGTCTTGAGAGAAAGAGCCAGAACCGAAGACTAGGCAAATCTTAGAAGTGACGTGTCTCATCTGCTGTTGGTCATACAGGCCATCCTGGTCCATGAGGGAGAGATATGTAAGTGTTTGAATATCGAAGGTTGGGGGCTCATTAGGGACCAACTTGAAGGTTAGCTTCAACAGAAGGTCTATGATAATGTGTTTCTTTTGTAATAAATTGATGGTATGAGAAGAAAGTTTGAATTTGGTCAGTATTTAGATAGTAACTACTTACAAATTTATGTTTATTCATACCCGTAAATATTTGCTCCTTTGTTTTTCAGGTCCAGCACAGAGTCAAATGCAGGTTCCCTCTGGGTATGGATTGCATCATCAGAACTATCTTCCCCCCTCAGGACATTATTCTCAAGAACCTGGAAAAATGACCTCAATGCCATTGGATAACCAGTGTAATGATTACTACTCTGGTCTGTATACAGTACCAACACAAAATGTGGTGACTCCAAGCACAGCCAACCAACCAGGAACACAGCAAATGTATGGCAGGGGTCCTTCTGCCCCTCATGTTGTGGGATCCACTCCAGGATCTTTCCACGGTGCTGCATCATCAGCATCCCATTTGCATACGAGTGCCTCCCAGTTATACTCTTTTGTGAATCACTACAATAGCCCAGCCATGCACTCTGCCAGCTCGTCTGTTGCTTCTCAGGGATTTCCCTCTACTTGTGGTCATTATACTATGGCAACTGTTTCTAATGCTGTGTATCCTAGTGTTTCATATCCTTCTCTGCCTGCTGGTGATCCATATGGGCAAATGTTTACCTCACAGAACGCTCCAGCTGTCAGGCCAGTTAAAGATAATTCATTTTCTGGCCAAAATCCAGCTCTCAGCCATCCGTCACCACTTCCTCCTCCTCCACAACACCACCATCAGCAGCAGAATCTCTCACGATATAATACCCTACCATGGGCAGTTCCAGGCCTTCCGTCAACCCAAGACAATCTCATCCAAAACCACATGGGATCTCTGGCTTCACCCAACAACAACCCAACAAGTACCGGTAGGTTGCCAAAACTACTGTTGAAAATCAGTGCATCTCCAATCAGGTGTTTACTTATATGAAGGTTAAAGATGAATTTGACTAATAGAAAAAGTAAAAATTAGTTCACCAGAGCAGTATATTTGCAGTTTTAGTTGAGATATTTTATGGCATATCTCTGAACTCCACTCCCTCCCCCAACTCACAATTTGCCACCTGACCATCTGCCCTGTATAGCTTATTCCTGGTCATGATGGGCTTCTCAGTGAATGCTAATGGATTTATACCTCTACTATAGTTGATATTAGTGTGAGTTTGGTATAGGGCAAATTGGAGGGGTCCATTTGAGGGAAATGCCAGGGTGGCACGTTCTTTTTCATTCTAGGTTAGCTGGGTCCATCCAGAACCTTAGAAATTTAAAGACCTACGACATTACAATGGATTCTTTAGGGTGCCTCCTACACATAAAACTGCTTTGTGGGCTGGGAAGGTGGCTCAGTGGTAGAGCGCTTGCCTTGCATTGCCTGAGGCCCTGGTTTGATTCCTCAGCACCACATAAGCAAAAGGAAAAAAGCCGGAAGTGGCGCTGTGGCTCAAGTGGTAGAGCGCTAGCCTTGAGCTGAAGAGCTGAGGGACAGCGCCCAGGCCCAGAGTTCAGACCCCACGACCGGACCCAAAAATAACAACAACAACAACAAAAAACTGCTTTGTTGTTCTCAAATTGGCAGTTTAGGATTCAGGATAAAGAAGATGGAAATAAAGTACATGAAGGATATCATGGTGGTTAGCCTTTCTGAACTTCCTAAACAAAAGATGTAGTTAAATGACTTAGTTTTAAAATTATAGTATATATGTAAAAATATATGTGAGTAAATTTGTTATATATTATAAATATATAGATAGAGAGAGAGTGTGTGTTTGTGTGTGTGTGTATGTGTATGTATGTATGTGCACATGCATGCTGGTTCTGGTACCTGAACTCAGGGCTTGGATGCTGCCCCTGAGCTTTTGTGCTCAAGACTACACTGAACCATTTAAGCCACAGCTCCACTTCCAGCTTTCTGGTGGCTAATAAGAGATGAGTCTCACAGACTTTAGGCTGGCTTCGAACCTTGATCCCCACATGTCAGCCTCCCATGTAGCTAAGATTACAGGCATGAGTCACTGGCATTCAGCAATATTTACTTTTATAGGAATTATAAAGGAATAATCTTTGGAGAGGCTGTCCAGAGACCGAATACTTGTATATTATCATATATGAGGAAGTGAATTATACGTAATTTACAAAGAACTAAAGATCTACTAGGAACTATCTACAGACTAATATAAAAACAGACAAAAGACTTATTCTTGAATTGTGATTTCTATCTTTATCCCTTAAACTATAGCAGTTTCTTCTGTCCCATTCCTTTTGGGAAAGAACCAATTCCTGGGCTGGGAAGGTGGCTCAGTGGTAGAGTGCTTGCCTTGCATGCCTGAGGCCCTGGGTTCGATTCCTTAGCACCACATAAGCAAAAAGAAAAAAAACCGGAAGTGGCGCTGTGGCTCAAGTGGTAGAGCGCTAGCCTTGAGCTGATGAGCTGAGGGACAGCACCCAGACCCAGAGTTCAGGCCCCACGACCGGACCCCCCCAAAAAAATTCCTTTTTGATTGGCATGCAGCCTACTTTGTGCCAAGATTCATCTAGTGTTGAGAGATTAAAGAGTAAGAGGCTTGATTCTTATCGATACATGCTCTGCAGCCCATCTCTGTGGAGCCAGACATCCACACAAATGTGAATGGATAGAGTTGCCATTATTTGAGTGTTATGAAGCAAGGATCTATGGTGCTTATAGAGCTTACTTCAGGTATATTTGACCTGTTAATCATGCAGCTTAGTCTGAAGTTAGTCATAAAGCTTAGGGCAGTTTTGTCTGAGAAAGTGATAGTTTGGCTACAAGATGGAAGATGAATTCTCCATATATAAAAGAAATTATAGGTAAATTATTTAAATTCAGAAAAACAAAACTTAAGAGAAAATATAGAAGCCTGTCTCAAAAGAGAGTAAAGAAGGAATTCTTAACATATCTGGTGCTAGTCATGAAAGGTAAGCATGATAAACTTGAGTAATTTCTAAAAAAATAAACTTTTCATAATATGAAGATATAACCATGAAATCCTCCCTTGTGTAAGCACGTTTTTCATAATTGAAAGACAACTTAAAATGAAAGGACATTTGATGTGTGAAATAGTTATTCCTGTATTTTTCTCACTTGGTTGTGTTTTCCGTATTAATTTATTACTTGTGTATATGGAAAATTACATTCTTTTTTTTCCCTTTTTTTCAGCTTGTCTCTTTTGAGATGGAGTCTCATGAACTTTTCACAAGTCTGGCCTTAGACTGTGATCCTCTGGATCTCAGCCTCCCAAGTCGCTAAGATTACAGTTATAAGCCACCATACCTAGAGCTTCAGATTGATAGGCATTTGAATGTCTAATAATACTAAGGCATCCTGCAGGTGTGAAATAACTGGAAACTTTAGCACTGTTGTAGGAAGGTATAGTGAATTATTAGTTAGGAAACTGACCTTAGAGGAAAAAAATCTTAAAATCACTTCTAAATATTCTGGGAAAAATACCCTTTTTTTTTTTAAGTAAGTTTTTTTGCCTCTTCCTTTGTTTCCCCTTACCATCCCTGCCCTCCCATCCCCCCACCAAAGTTGTAAAGTTTGTTTTTCAACATAGCATTTTATACATTTCATTGTTGCGATGGGTCTACCTGTATCCCTATTTAAACAATTTGTTTTTTCCCTTCCCCTCCACAAATTATACCAACGTCAAATACAGTGAAAACAGGGGTTATACCGTGGGGGAGGGACATACAAAGCAACAAAAAAAAAATCACCTTATAAATATGAAACAATAACAAGAAAGAAAAACCAGTCCTTATCTTGGGGCTCATTTCACCTAACATCAACTTATCTGACCATTTCTGCTTGTCTCAGACATATACTAGTTATTGCAAATAAGAGAAACCATGGGACCTATGTTTCTTTGGGCCTAGCTTACTTCAATCACTTAATATAATTTTTCCCAAGTCTTTCCATTTCCTAACAAATGGGACAATGGAAAAATATCCTTTTAAAACTTTATGCATATGAGTCACTCAGAATCTTACTAAAAGGTAGGTTGATTCACTAGGTCTGTTAGGCCTGGCTGAAGAGTCTGCAGAGTCTACATGTCTAGCGAGTTTCCATACGAGGTGTTATCTCATAGATTACACTGAGCAAGGAGACCCAAGAGAGCACTGTTTGCTATTTTGTCTGTGTGGCACTGTGGCAAATAACATTTGTTTGTGATACTGGGCTAAATAGACTATATAATCTCTCTGTGGACCAAAGGCCTCATTTCCTTCAGCGTGATCCCAGGGCTAGAGGATTCTGTATTCTAGCTACATACCTCCACTTAACCTTTAGCACATACATTGTGAAACTGCCCTAGGAAACTCACATGTCTTCACCAGGGAGGAATTCCCAAGTAAGGCAAAGAAAATCTTCCTAAAGACTACTTTCCACCTCCTTCCCCCATCTGCTTTATGTGTTCACTATGTCAACACACACACACATATATATATATACACACATACACACACATACATACATACATCTCCCATATTGGTGTGTGTATATGCATATTTACAAATTCCATATGATCATGTCTATTTATATAATATGGTCCCTAGTGATCACTTCTTTTACCATAGGTTTTTCAGGGATCTCTTTATTGGATAATTTTAAAGGTGATCCTATAGGTCAATGTTTTTATAACTACAGGCAATATATTTGCTAATTTGAAGTATCTCAAAGGCTACTGTGAATCAAATATACTTTATTTAAGACATCCAACCTAGTGTTTTGGTGAAGCCCTTTTTTTTTTTGAAATAAGGAATTTAGTTAAAACCACCATATGACAGGTAGCAGTTTACCATGTTCCAGAAAAAAAAAATGCAGCTGGTAGTTCAGCAGATACTTTTTGTAATTCAGAAGTCATATTACTATACTCAAGTAACCTCACTTACCTTCTTGCCTGACACGCCGTCACATAGTACAACAGTTAATGGTAATGGTCATTGTGTTCATTGTCTAATAAGGTGAGGAGGTTTATGAAATACTTTAGAAAAACTGTCACTAAAAATTGGAACGTGGGCTAGAGGTATGGCTAAGCAGTATCACACCATCCTAGCAAACATGTGGCCCTGAGTAAAACTCTAGTATCACCACAAACATGATAGGTAGGTATGGGCGTACTAGTCAAAAGGTAGAACAAGAACAAGGCTTTGAGTTCAACTCCCAGTAGCACTCCCCCCAAACATAGATAGATAGATAGATACATACATACATATACATACTTGGAGAATAGGATTTTTAGGGTTTTTTTTTTGTAAAATCGTTTCTTTAGACTACCTTTTTTTTTTTCTCATCAGTTATGGGGCTTGAACACAGGGCCTGGGCACTGTCCCTAAGCTCTTTTGCTCAAGACTAGCACTCTAGCCACAGCACCACTTCCAGTTTTTGAGTTGTTAACTAATTGAAGATAAGAGTCTCAGGAGGACTTTCCTCCCCTGGCAGGCTTAAGCCTCAATCCTCAAATCTCTGCCTCCTGAGTAGGATTATAGATGTGAGACAGTAGTGCCCCACTAGACTGCCTTTTTTCCTAGATGAAACACATGCATGGAATGCTGAAGTTTTCTATAAAATTTTAAATAAGTTGCATTTTTTCATAAGTCTGTTTTAATGTTCTTCACATTTGTTGCTGTGGATCAATAATCCTGTCTTCAGTTGCAGATTCTCTGTCTGGTCCGGGTATGCCTCCCAAGTCCAGCTCAGTAGCTCCCCCTGTTCTGCCAGGAGCCCCATCAACAAGAATGCCTCCTGCTGCGAAGCACCCGGCCGAGCCCATGGCCTCTGTCACACAGCCCTCAGAGCTGTTCCAGCAGAAAGGTATTGGAGAAATTTGTTGTTTGACACACACATATACACGTATGTGCACATACACACCAATAGCTGATTTGAAAAAGCATACTGTGTAACCCTTATCTAAGAAAATGTGAGAAGATTAATTTATGATCTCAACTTCAACTGTGCCTGTGCCTGTTTATGTTTTAATTTCCAATGTCTTTTTATGATTATTTTACAAAGTTACAATTATAGCTTACCATTTTGTATTTCACTTTTATATTTATTAAACTATACAGTTTTTATGTGTGTAGTTTTTTTTACCATTTTCATGACAAAATCCTTTGTGTTGATGTATTATGATTTACTTATCCATCCCTTTATTATGAGCCATTTCTTTTTTTTTCTTGTTGTTATTGAAGGTTATTAAAGGTTATTTTTAGAGATAAGGCAACTGAGATCTCCTTATTTAGTGAATCTTATGCTGTTCAATGATTTCTGTACTTGTCATTATTATTAGTGAAAAATAAACTTTGAGGAGTGAAAATGAAATTATAACCCACACTATTGCATGGTTGCAGACCAAAGTTGACTCATTTATTACTCATTTATTATTTATTATTACTCATTTATTAGAAGTAAGTGACCAGTGATAAAAATGTGTTGTTTTGTTCCTATTTCTCTACATTGTCTTCTCTTTCAGAAGTATTCTTGGTTAATTTCTATCTGGCTAAAATTCCAGCATATTTATGTTTCAGGTTAATGTACTGTATTTCATTGGATCTGAAATAGCTGAACTGTTTTCAGGAATCTTCAGTATCTGCAGAGCAACTATTGAAATATATTAAGAACGTTTCTTTGAAATTGAGCTTGAAGAACACTTCCGTTACATTCTGAAAGTCAGGAAAGGAAACAGCATTGGAACATGTTAGGCTGATTTCACTGCTTGTATGTGCTGAAAGTTGATGTGGTCAGCAGAGACCTTTCTGTCAATTGACCAGTTTACATATTGTAAACTTTCTTCTTTTTAATTTTATTAAGTTAGCATACATTGATTGTACAAGAGGGATTTCATTGAGACATTTCTGTACATGCTTTCAATGTGTACCCATCAAACGTACCGCCTTACTGCTTTCATTACTCTCCCTTACCATCCTCCCCTCTTAAAATAATTGCAGCAGACCTCATTGTTCTATTCTCATACCTGCAGATAAACTTCTGTGATTATATTCATCCTCATTCACCATCTTCATTAGCTCTAGCTCTCCTACTCCTGATAGTACTCACGCCCACAACGAAGCCTATTTTACTTTCCTGTCATTCTTTTTGAATTGTACCATGGGGTTACAGTTTCACCATGATGTTTCAAACGTGCATATATTTTGTTAAGAATAGCCCTCTACTACATTATCTTTCTCCACCTTTCCAGTAGGTTTTTTATGTTTTATTTTATTTTTTTGCCAGTCGTTGGGCCTGAACTCTGGGCCTTGGCGTTGTCCCTCCGCTCTTCGGCTCAAGGCTGGTGCTCTACCACTTAAGCCACAGTGCCACTCACGACTTTTTCTGCTTATGTGGTGCTGAGGAATCGAACCCAGGGCCTAATGCATGCAAGGCAAGTGCTCTACCACTGAGTACCTTCCCAGCCCAGTTTTTTAAATTTTTTATTGACCACTAGTTTTCATTGAGATTCCTTATGTCATCATCATACATATTTTGAAATTCTTTACCCTCCATCTTTTTCCCTTCCCTCTATCCCTCTAAAGAGTTCTACAATTAGAATTATGGTCTGTGTGTGTGTGTATGTGTGTATTTTAGGTGTTTCGGTGTATATATATGAATATTCAGGTTTATAAATAAGGTTTTTTAGGTCTAGTTTCTACTTATAGCAAAAGTATTTGCCTCTTTGAAATTATACTTCTTTCCTATTGCTCCTTTAATAATCTATTCATGTATTAGAATTTATTCATGTATTAGGGTTTATTCTTTCTTGTATTTTCCTGGTTTTTATTTTCTTTTTTCATGGATAGGATTCCCTAAGTATCTTTTTTTTTTTTTTTTTTTGTGGTCATGGAGCTTGAACTGTGGGCCTGGGCACTATCCTTGAGCTCTTTTGCTCAAGGCAAGCACTTTACCATTTGAGCCACAGCGCCACTTCCAGTTTTCTGGTTAATTGAAGATAAGAGTCTCATGGATGTTCCTGTCCGGGCTGGCTTTGAACCATGATCCTCAGATCTCAGCCTCCTGAGTAGCTAGGATTACAGGCGTTAGCCACCAGTGCCCAGCTCCTAAGTATCTTTTTGTAGTGCTGGTTTAGTAGTAATGAATTCCTTAGCCTTTTTTTGTTTTGTTTTGTTTTGGTGCCAATTCCAGAACTTGAACTCAGGGCTGGAGAACTGCTTTTTTGCTCAAAGCTTATACTCTACCACTTGAGCCATAGCTCTGCTTCTAGCTTTTTGGTGATAATTTCCCAGACTTTCCTGCTCTGGCCGTTTGTTTGTTTTTGTTTTTGTCTTTTTTGGTCGGTCATGGGCCTTGAACTCTGGGACTGAGTGCTGTCCCCTCAGCTCTTCAGCTCAAGGCTAGCGCTCTAGTGCTTGAGCTACAGTGCCACTTCCAGTTTTCTGGTGGTTTATTGGAGATAAGAGTTTCCCACTTTCCTGCTCCGGCTGGCTTTGAACTAAGATCCTCAGATCTCAGCCTCCTGATGAGCTAGGATTACAAGTTTAAGCTACCAGTTCTGGCTTTCTAAGCTTTTACCTCTGTTATGAAGGAATGAAGGATAGTTTTACTGGGGGTACACTAATTTAGACTGACAGTTTTGGGGGTTTTTGGAGGGGGAGGTGGCTTGAATTAGGTCCTTACATGTCCTCCTTATGTTCAGAGTTTATGCTGAGAAATCTGTTATTCTAATGGGTTTGCCCTTGTACGGAACATGTGTCTTTTCTTTTTCAACTTTAAGTATTTTTCTTTATTCTAAACACTTAGTATTTTAACTATAATACTTCTAGGGGTGTTTCTTCTCAGATCTTGCCTATTTTATATTTTGTATGCTTCCTCATTTGGATAACCCTTTTTTTTAAATCAAGGTTGGGAAGTTTTCTGCTACTAATGTATTGAATGTGTTCTCTGTCTTTACTTTGTATCTCTTTCCTTTCTACACTTATAATTTGATCTTGTGTGTGTGTGTGTGTGTGTGTGTGTGTGTGTGTGTGCGCGCACGTGCACGTGTGCTGGTCTTGTAGCTTGAACTCATAGCCTGGATATTGTCCCTGAGCTAAAAATCTCAAGGCCAGAACTCTACCATTTAAGCCACAGCTGCATTTCCAGCTTTTGTTGGTAGTTAGTTGGCCAGGTTAACTTTGAACCATGATCCTCATATCTCTGACTTCTTAGTAGTAGATTACAGGCATGAGCCACTGGCGGCTGGCTAGATTTGGTCTTTTAATGGAGCCTGAAAGGTTTTATAAATTCAATTAATATTTTCCTAGTGTTATTTTCAATACCTATTAATTTCCCAAGCCATTCCTGGTAAGTAGTCCTTCAGTTACAAGCTTTTGGCCTACCACTGTAAGATCCTGAAAGTCCGAGTTTTGTTCTTAATGTAATACTGGACTGTCTGTCCTCTTCCTCTCCCCTACCCCTGAGACCTCTTCTTTCTGGTGCAAAGATCCCCAGGCTTACCTACCTCCAGGTAAAAACATTTACTGCTGGTGAAGAGAGGAGATGTCATACCAAAAAAAAAAAAAAACACTTGAAAAACTGTAATTTGAGATCAACATCTAAAATTGTCAAAAGTTATAGTAATGTCTTGATTATAAACCAGAAGTGTAACATCACTCTTACATTGTTTGTGGTGCTAGGGATTGAACTCAGGGTGTTTCGTGTGTTAGGAATGCACTGAGCTATATCCCCAGTCTATGTTATTCTTTTAAGTGTATCCATTTACTGCCATCCTTTAACATTTGTTAACATTTGGAAAGGCTTTTTTCCCTCTTTTCCTTTTATTTGTACGCTTTTCTGAAAGTAAAATGTCCTGTTCAGCTAGAAATTCTTTAAACACTGTTGTATTTTGCTCCCACACTAACAAATAAATTGAAACTTTAGAAACTATATCTTTATTGTTTATGATGATAAGTTGTTATTACAGAATTTTCTTTTGGCTTGAGCTGTTATTGTAAATACTATACATAATTGGTGAAAATAGCATAAACATCATGGATATGATGCTATTTATATAGAAAGTGCATTTTTAATGAAAGGCTTTTTTTTGTCAGTTGTGGTGTTTGAACTCTGGGCCTGGGTGCTCTCCCTGAGCTCTTTTGCTCAAGGGGAGCACTTTACCACTTGAGCCACAGCGCTACTTCCCGTTTTTAGGTGGTTAATTGGAGATAAGAGTCTCGTGGACGTTCCTGCCCGGGCTGGCTTTGAACTGTGATCCTCAGATCTCAGTCTCCTGAGTAACTAGGATTATAGGTGTGAGCCACCGGTGCCCAGCTTGGCTATTATTATTAATTTTTTGGGGGGGTCCGGTCGTGGGGCCTGAACTCTGGGCCTGGATGCTGTCCCTCAGCTCTTCAGCTCAAGGCTAGCGCTCTACCACTTGAGCCACAGTACCACTTCCGGCTTTTTTTTTTTTTTTTTTGCTTATGTGGTGCTGAGGAATCGAACCCAGGGTCTCAGACATGCAAGGCAAGCGCTCTACCACTGAGCCACCTTCCCAGCCCTTGGCTATTATTATTATTATTATTATTTTTGCCTGTCTTGGTCCTTGAACTCAGATCCTGGGCCCTGACTTTGAGCTTCTTTTGCTCAAGGCAAGCACTGTGCCACTTGAGTCACAGCACCACTTCCAGCTTTTTCTTACTGAGGAATCAAACCCAGGCCTTCATGTATATTAGGTAAGCACTCTACTACTAAGCCACATTCCCAGCCCATTAAAATGCATTATTCAGTGAGATGAATGGGCTCGCGTCCTTTCTACTAGATATTTTTATTTGGATTGGATGTGATTCATTGATTCCAGTTTCTAACTTTATACACCTAAT